GAATATGGATATTTTTCTTACAAAAACGTATCTATTTGCTACAGAAGGCCTTTTTTCACCCCCCGGAGCCGTGTGAGACACTTTTTTTTTTTTATGGATGGGCGCATTTTAATTAAGTGCTTATGGACTGATGCATGCAACACCTGCTGAGTGCCAAGAAGCAGTTCCGGGCGGATAATGTATGGAGGTCGGCTTTGCGCATGCGCCGCTCAGAAGTGACACGCGCGGAAGCGCACGGGAGAGATCAAAACAAAACAATGGTCACTAATTAGAAGTACAAAACGAGGATTTGTGAAGAATGTTGGAGGATTTTGATATAAGCCAAGAGGAGACTGGTTTTCCTTTGCTAAAGTAAGGAAACTTTGCTTCCTTTGCTCCTGTTAACAAACGTTGGTTTTCATGAGACTCACCGGCACACTGCGCAACGCTGACCTCATACGTCATCCGCCCAGAACTGCTTCCAGTTTACAACAGTGAGCGCAAGCTAGATTAAAGTGATTATTACGTTTTGAATATGGATATTTTTCTAACAAAAACACATCGATTCGCTACAGAAGGCCTTTGTTCACCCCCCCGGAGCCGTGTGAGACACTTTTTTTTTTTATGGATGGGCGCATTTTAATTAAGTGCTTTTGGACTGATGCATGCAACACCCACTGAGTGCCATGAAACAGCTTGAAAGATCAAGACAATTTTTAATATAACTCCGACTGGATTCGTCTGAAAGAAGAAAGTCATATACACCTAGGATGACTTGAGGGTGAGTAATTTATGGGCTAATTTTCATTTTTAGGTGAACTAACCATTTAACTTTTATAAAGATATCTCTTTGGATTTGAGACTTTAGTCTTTGCAACTTTACAGATCTTCTTTACGCCAAGAGCTTGTAATACTCCAAAGAGAAAGGAAAAATTGAAATCGCATCATATGACCCCTTTAAGATGGACAATATGCTCATTTGGGATGCAGCCTATAAGATCAAGATTAAGTTTTGATCATTTGTAATATGAATAAAGGTGTGGTACTGTTTCTGGGACTTTTGACTCAGCATGAAATAGGTTAGGGAAGGCGGTTTGCGGCATGAGGTGCTCTACTAATGGTCTCACAGCATTTCTGAGAAGAAACATCTATATTACTTTTCTGACAGTAACTCTGGTTTCTGCTGGACCTGATGGAGAAACAGACAAGCGCTGACGACCACAGCCCCACTGACCTGTTAGCACAGAATGAACGGAAGGCATCCCATAATAGCCGTGACCCCAGGGAAACTTTGAAACAAACCCCCTCAGAAGACCTTTGAAGCAGAGACCCCCCATGAAGCACACGCGTGTGCAGCCTGGAAGCCGGCATTTCCTCTTCTTTTACAGAGTTACTGTGTTTTTAACCCTGTTTGTTTGTTTAAGCTGCTGAAACATTGATGCTGATTGTTTAGGTGGCTTTGAGTAAATAAAGATGGGACGGCTTGAGTTGATTTGTAGCTGGGTTGAGACACCTGTGCGTTGCTTTGACCACACTGAGTGTGAGAGTCTGTGTGTTTGCGTGTTATGCAGATCGACTGGAGTGTAAAGACAGGATACACGGCCCTGTGAGCGACATTATGTAGCATATATCACCCAGCATGAGGTGCACAGAAAAACACCACAGAGTGCTCATGAACACAAACATATAGTATTAAGTCACGTTCACAACAAAAACAAAAACAATAACTATAACCAGGGCCTAAAATTAACACTTTATTATTATTATTATTATTATTATTATTATCATCAATATTATATAAATTAAATGTATTATTATGAAATACTTTACAAAAAATTGTTCTGAAAGTGATTCCAACGCTATTGTTTGTCTGTGTCATTATTATTATAGTTGTGGTGTGGACTTCACTATTCCCACTGAATTAGAATGATTATTAAAACTATATTTTTGTATGACATCAGTCATTATTGTATGGTTAAAACTACAGACATGAACTACAGACATATAACAAACAAAACCATCTGATACTAGAACGGTCTATGAAGACCAAACATCTGGATTAATACGACACATTTTGCTTCTGTGCTAGGTCACCACTACATCTCTATAATCTGGGTTTTGAAGTAAAACGAGTTAAGAACCACTGACATACAGTTCATGCCACTATGAGGTGCTTGTAGACTTACTGAAGTGCCCAGATACTGCAGGGAGATTTCTCCAGCCGCTGTCCGCAGCAGGCACTGCATTCAGAGACAATAAATAAATCATTGAATACAGTTGACCAGTCAGAATCAAATACTCCATAGAGACTCATAATAGGTTGAATTATTGACTCTGCATCAGTGGTGAGGCCAAATATTCTCCAAGTTGATAGATTTTTGTTTTTGTCTATCCAACAATATTATGGATATATAATGAATGAACAATCCCAATTAGGGCTACAACATCAAAGTCAAAAGGATACATTTATACTAAATATAAATGTAAAAAATAAAATATAAATAATACAAAAGCTTCATAGTTGAAGACAATAATTATAATAAAAACGACATGAAATCCTACATTGGGACTCGAAATGCTCAATCTTTTTGGACATTTGCAAGAACCATTCAAACAAACCAATTCACCAGAATGAATCAGGCTACATGGGGTCAAACTAATTAACCCAATACTCATTCTGCACACTGCATTCATTAAACAGCAGTCGCAAATCTTGTGAGCGGATCAGCAAAAAAAAATAAATTCTTGTATATACGTATTTATAAAAATACACTTTCCAATGTATACACAACAGATGTGGTTAATATGCATTTTTATTTCCACACCGCTAGTATATTCTGGCAGCTTTGATTGATTGAGTTGACCGATCAGCAATCTGGGTGGACCAGAATCACCCTGGCCCTTATGTGGCATCTGGACAGCTGGATTGATTGGACAGTTGCAAAAATGCATGTGTAAATATTACCACTTCAGGTGTATTACTTATCAATAATTCATCATAACTTTTCAATAACAGACCAGAGTCAATTATTCCCTATATACAGTGGTGCGAAAAAGTGTTGGCCCCCTTCCTGATTTCTTTGTGTTCACTTGTGTTATCTTTTACTAATATTTAAATTTGTTTGATGATCTGAAACATTAAAGTGTGACAAACATGAAAAAAAATAAGAACTCAGGAAGGGGGCCAACACTTTTTCACACCACTGTATGCATATGCATGTTTGTAAACCTGGAGAGTCCTGTGTTTGCCGTTGATGGTGATGGGCAGCAATGCTGAGGCCAAGTTCCATTCTCCAGACACTTCAACCTTCTCTCCATCTATCTCCACCTAAACCAACAAACATACACAAGGTAGGAGTTAGACGGAGGACAAAAAAAGTCCATGTTATAATTGAGTTACTCTGTGTGTGAGAGAAAAGGAAAAAGAAACAGTGAGAAATCAAATGTAAGTTTCTGAACTCATGTAAGGTCAGTCAGTAGTTTCTACACCCAAATCCACCTGATGCCTGTTAGGGGAGGTGGGGGGTTTCATGTTAGTCTTTTCTTTTAACCAGTGTCTCTGGTCAAACTGATTACCCTCAGCCCTCAGACACTTGTCTAAACAACAGTTCTGAATAATCCGTTCCATTCCCAAAGCATGCTGGGACACTGGAACCTCCAGGGCCCTCTCTGGAGCAGGGGGTCCAGTTTGATGTGCAGTTCTGGGAGAGAAACACACATCCAGCCCTCAGCTGTAAGAGAAAGAGAGAGAGGGGTCCACAGAGATCAGGTGAGGCCCCTGAACCCCCGAGGCTCCTTTTATCCCTGACTGAAGGGCCACAGGTGTCTAAACACACAGTTAGTGAGTGACGTCTTAGGGAAAGTGTGAGAGCGGCCGCTCTGTGAGGGTCTTTCGGTAACAGAAGAGGAAGACACACAGATCCTAAAGTGATTTAGACTCAAGAGTCGAGGGATTGATTTCAACGCAAATATCACCACAAAGAACATGAGCGTTAGCGAGGGAGCAAAAGCGCTCACTGGGAGTACTATAACAGAAGCAGAGAACATACCTTCTCACAGAAATCAACTGGATAAGCAGGTTGAGTTATGACTTAATGAGGACAATATTTGTTGAAATTGTGTGAAATCTGACATCTTTGCTTATTGGAATCACGAAAGCTTGTAAGTCAACCACCTGAGCCACAGAAAAATGTCTTGACAAACAATAAAAAATAAATGAATAAATAAATAAAGCTTGCAAGAGCACTTCCATATTAAATGTAATTAAATTAGACAAAATATAAATACTGGCCATTCAATATTGGCCTGTCTATTGTCGGAGACACTGGGACAGGCTCCTGAATCTCCCATGACCCTACACAGGACAAGTGGTTTGGAGAATGGATAGAAATAAAAAGTTAAAGTAAAAGTAAAATAGAATAATATACAAACACTAATAACAAAACAAAACAAAACCTTAAATACACTTTTTACACATCTACTTTTGAATGGTCGTACTGGAAAGATTAGGTCCAGATGGTGTACTTACTGTGTGGAACCTGTCTAAGCTAACGAAGCTTGATCCCTAGTTTAGGATAATGATGTAAATGGGACATGACAATTATTTTTATTATTTTTAGGCTTTGACAGGAACGACAGGAAATTATTGAAGAGAGAGAGAAGGAATAGGATGAGGACACACTACATGTCAGAACTCACATGAGCTAATGTATGAAGTCTTGCACCACAGCTCCTACTGAGATGTGACAAGAGATGTAATATTTTGAACAATTTCACTCACTGTATAGTTGTTTCCAGACCGAGACACACCCAGCATGTGAACGCCTTTATCAAGTTCCACACACAGCTCCCACCGTCTGCACTCTGCAGGAACAACGGACACCCTGGAACACACACACAGACACAGAATGTTTATCATTAGTCATAATGGGCGCTTCAAATACATTGTCCTTCTCTCTATTTAAGTCAATCACAAATCTCTCTGTAACCATTTTTAGCTATAAAGTTTATTTTCTTCACAGATGAATTAAACCCCAACCCGCACACACACAAGCCACCTGGTTACCGGCTGTTTGACTGACAGCTAGGAGACCTAAAGTAAATGTAATAGGAGGAATGCAGTGTTTTTCCACTGTGGTGGGCTGCATTCACTACAAAGAGAAAGCCCACCCCCCACCAATAACTTTTGGGACACATAAAAAAAGAGAAAATAAAGAGACAGTGGAGGGGGAAGCTGGAGAGATGTTTAGACAGATGGCCTCTCTGCATCTTTTTTTTCAAAAGTAAATTGGTCGCCTTTTTCAGATGAAGAATAATTATGACTGTTGCATTGGCCGAGTTCGAGGGGTACATTGACAACCAATTAATTTACAATTAAAAGACCATTACATTAAATACAAGTTCTTTTTTGTGGTTACACTTTGAAAGCGGTTTGATAGTTGAATGCACTAAATGTTTATTCGCAGTGCTGTACGCTTGCCTGCTGGGCTTCAATTGTAAGAAGATTACTGCCAAGCGCATTTCCTGTTTGTTTGTACATTAGGAGGTTATTGTCTGAACCTTGTATTTAACTTGGTATATTGTGTTAATGCCTGGAAAAGTAGAAGGGGGATTTACATAGAAATATAAGGAGAAATTTGGATCATGGTGCCCCTGAAGCATGAGCTATCTTTTACAAACACAGTGAGATACTGGACTGCTGCAGATGTAGAGCTGGATAGAGAAAAGATCCTGTTAGATTATTCATTATTACGAAAGGTTAAACAATAAAGATTTTGTCTGCTGGCACTTTCAACACCTTTCTCACATTTTCCAACATTTCTCCAAAACAAAACTGGTCTTTTTTCACCATTTTTGACAGAAAACTCTATTTATATTTTTGTTATATATTGTTTCCTTCAAAAATCCTAACGAAAAAAAAAACAAGCGAATCTTTTGTTTTTCCTTTGCAATAATTGCTTGACTATACAGCTACAATGTAACTAATGTGATACACACTTTTGCTGAAACATGATGCCTTATGGTGCAAAATATTGCCGATTGTTCAGAAGTTTCTGATGCTACTAAGACTACCATTTGTTATACTCACAATTTTGCCAAAACATCATTTATGTGAACTAGCTACACAGTTACCTATTTGCAGCAGTAGAATTTATCAAACAAAAACATTTGAAACATTGTAGAAAACCAAATAAGTTTCATAAAAACAACACATTCGCAATGAAATTAAGATTGTTGTCAGTGTGTTGTCATTGTGGAGGAAGCGTTATTATGGACTCATTTTTGCCCAGAAGTAGCAGTTTGAATAGTTACAATGTCTTCACATGTTAATTGATGGACTGGATTCCTTGTGATGTTTTTATCAGCTGTTTGGACTCTCATTCTGATGGCACCCATTCACTACAGAGGATCCATTGGTGAGCGAGTGTAGTAATGCTAAATTTCTCCAAATCTGTTCCCAAGAACAAACAAACTCATTACATCTTGGATGGCCCAAGGGCGAGTAAATATTCAGTAAATTTTCATTTTTGACCAGATCACGGAGGTGGAAATCTTGCATGGAAAAATTAAAAGTAAACAATTATCCACACCACAACTATGCTGGAGGATGTGTGGTCAGGTTGATGTTGACCACCTTCATATATTCTGGAGTTGTGCAAAAAAAATGACCTTTTTGGAACATGGTCTTGTTGGAGTTTAAAAAGATTTTAGGATATGAAATACCAAGAGATTTCACAACATTGTATCTTGGAAATTTTACAGACATCGTGTTGAAGGAGGATGTATATCTTGTAAATATATTAAGTGTAGCATGTAAAAAGAGCATTATCAGGCGTTGGTATAAGCAGGACACCCCCTCACTTAGTGAATGGATAGAAATCGTTAAAGAAATGTACAACGTGGAAGAATCGACTTATTTTGAGACTTAAAAAGGACTTATTTCTAAAATATTGGAAGAAATGGATTGAATACTGTAATGTAAATAATCACTGATTATAGATATTGTACATGTGTAAATATATATTTACACACTTGTTACAAAACAATGTATACCCCCCTATTGTATTGTATTGTTTGTTTTCTCTCATTTCTTTTTGATGTAAAAAATGTTTTCTTACAAAATGTTCCATAAAAATAAAGTAAAAAAAAAAAAACATTTTTGGGTGAACTACTCCTCTAATGCTCATAGAGAACTTGTAAATGGTAATGTGACTGCTTAAATAAATGACAAGTGTGTTGGTGTGTGTAATCCAGATGCCCCATCTGTCTCTCACCTCAGATCTCCCAGGAACTTCTGAGATCGGAGCTGTGCTGCTACATAAAGAGCCGCAGCCGTAGCCAGCAGCTCCCGTCGCTCTCCTGCTGTTAACATGTGACCTTTGAACCCATCAGGATACACCTCCGGGAGAAACTTAGTGCTGATATCACCAGACACAAACCGAGAGTGAACAATGATCTCTCTCAGTAAAGGAATGTTATGGGTCACACCTGTGCGAATGAGAAAACTGGAAATGAAAGAAATGTCGTGCATTTGAAATATTTTGTCATTTAAAAGTTATTTATGCAATGTACCTCTGATGACATAATTATCAAGTGCATCTTCCATTTTCTTCAGAGCTTCTTCACGTGTTTTACCATATGTGACCAGCTAGTCAATGCCAACAATAATTAATCAGTGGACTAGTCTGACAGTTTAAATGAAATGAGACTGTTAAGATGGTCTTACATTACTATTCTATTACCTTAGAAATCATGGGATCATAGTAGATACTGATGTCACTTCCTTCTTGAATTCCACTGTCTACTCGAACCTTCAAGAGAAAAGCAAAATAACAATTATCATTCAAAAATTGAATTCCCAAAAATTTCATGCATGAACTGGCCTGCATGAAGAGCTTTAGCAGTATTTCTAAAAGTATTTAAAAATATTTGTATTTTTCATATCGCCTCCTTCGCAAAATGTGTGCCCTGCATTACACCTGATTTTTCAAAACAAAATAATCTTTAAAGCAAAAATCACCAGAACACAAAACTATAAATAACCACCGAACACATCACACAATGTTATCTTTTTGGCCCTGCCTATAAATGAAAGAATAATTAGTAAATATCGTCAGTGATGTTTGCTTTCTTTAGACATTTAAACCTCATCCGTGCATGTCTGTGCGTGTGTTTCTGAAATAAAAACATTTTGCTCATCCTGTCCTGAGCAGCTCCCGGAAACCAGCCATCTTTCATTGAAGAGGATGTGTTTTCCTGTTCTACCTTTATTGACTGATGTGTGAATCTCACACACAAACACATTTATAGAATATAACTAGAATATAATGTTACAATTAGCCCCAGTCTTGCAACCTAGATCCTTAAATATCTGTCATTATCATTGTAAATACCCATGTTAACTTTTAAAACAAAAGATAAAATAGATACAAATTTTAAAGGATTAAAACTTTAGTCAGCAACATACCTCAAATGATACCAATTACAGTTCACTTCATGTGAAGCAAATACACTTCTTTTCCTCGGGCAGAGAAAAAAGTAATGTTTTGAATAAGTGTCATTACTCTAGCTTGGTTGTGATTCAAGCTGTTCCTATTCTCCACAACACACTCACACACAAGAGAACAGAAAAAAAAAATGGCCAAACAGATCTGAGTACTAACATTGGGCAGGTCAAGTGGCTCCTGGTACTGTGACAGCCGGCCAATGGAGGGGAGACCAAATGATTTGTATGGATCCTGAAAAATAGCGAGATAAAGAGAGGAAATATTACTTCTCAAATAAAACACAGGAAACAAGAGCTCAAGTGTCTGTCTTTAAAGTTCATGTCAAACTGTGGCTCAGTTAAGCTGGGTTAACACAGTCTACTTGGTTTCTCTCCTTGTTGTCGGGCATAAACACTTCTGCAATCCAGACTGGGTCATGCCAGCACGTGTCAACATGATGAGATGAGACACAAGACCCACACTGGGCTGGAGTGAGTTCACTGAATATAGATGAATTCAATATTCTCATTATCTGAATATGTGTTATTCAGGTTTATAATCTAATAAATGTCGGACTATAATAATCCTGAGCACACAAAAGACAGGTTGTTAGACACGGATTAAGGTGAGTCCAGGATTAAGCAGATCTGTTGAAGGAGTGAAAATGCTACGCATCCCACCTAATCTGTTTTTAAACCGAAATGTAAAGGAAAATCATCTTAAAGCTGAACGTTAAAGCATTCAATGTCATTTTATGGCAGGATAATCCATCATCATGAAGACAAATGCTTTAATAGGACAGGACCTACTGAAGATTAGAAACAAATATGTGGGCAAATCTGTCAACAACATGTCTAGATCATGAGAAAAACAGACAAAAATGGCTGAAGCTTAATGGTCATGAAAATAATGACACACAAAGTCAATTAAATTCATTTAGGATCACTTATGTAAAACAATGTAGCTTTTCCTTTTTTTCTGGGGTGAAATGTCACCTGGGTATGTTATTTACAGGTTTCATTAGATTATCCTATCTACCAAACAAGTGCTCTGAAATACCAGATATGGGACCAATATGGGGTGATATCTAGAGATTTAATGCTGTTATCTGATGAGAAAGAACTTAAAATTAGACATTTACAGTCAAACCAAAAAATATTTAGACACGAGATATAATTTTTGATATTTTTTACTAGTGGGTGCAGGACACTATATTTCATTTGTGTAGTTGTATAGATTAAGTAAGGATAGCAAAATAAAGTAAATTGTGACATATTATACCCAAAACTTCTTCATACAACGGACTTCCAGTAAAATTGATAAAAATTTGGGACCAAAAATTTGATTTGACACTTTGACCTGACCATGTTTTGTTACATACCTTTCTATCAAAGTTAGCTGACATTATCAAGATTAATTATTTCTGACACAGTTTAACTCATATTTTATTACCATTTTCCAAACTATAGCGAATAAACTGTGATAATGTGTGAAATGTTGGAGGTGACTGAATAAATTTTGGTTTTACTGTATATACCCGTTTATGTAAAACCAAGAAGTGAAGCATTTTTTATTCACATTATAGCTGTTTTAGTGTGTATTTTAGTACAACTGGAATAATTGTTATTTGTACGTTTTAAATCTTTCTATAAGTTTGGAATAGTATTTGAGTTTAGTTTTCACAGCAGTTCTGTGTTTATGATCTCCCAATTTGCATGATCTGCCCATCATTTGCATATGGCAAAATAACTCCTTTCATTTGACATCCTCTTGTTATATTCTCTATATTTAAATTAATACATGATTAACTATAGTAGCTTACAAAGAGCTGCCCACAGCCAACACGCACACACTTATCTGTTGGCAGAACATGCATTGCTAACACACAGACGTTCATACTCAGCCGCTGAGAAGCACCAGTAAAATAGCTGGGTTATGACCCACGCCTCCGTACAAATACAGCAGCAAAGCAAAGCAGTCTGCAGTTTCTGGCAGGTTGCGTAACAGGTCATGTGGCTGCTGGCACCTATCATCACCACACCCCAGCAGCTGTGAATCCCGCTGGCACGCACAAGAAACGGAGGAAGCTAGAGTAGCGTTTGGAGGATCAATTTAACGATCCTTATTTGAATAACATTTATTTGTTAGATTCATACCATTAGATGTGAATGTCAGAATGATAATGTCTTGGTGTATTTTACAGTTTTTTTACTACATTCATGGGCTTTGTTTTAATTGGCATGCTTAGCATTTCATATTATTAAAAAATTGTTTATCCAAAAATCATTTTAGGTCCAAATCTCATTACTTTTTCTTCTGTGTAATAGAAAAAGGATAATATTTGAAGAATTAGCTTGTTTGTGCTCGTTTTCCCCCTTGCAATTATAAAGAGCTTTAAAGCTTCAAAAAAATGTCACACAAGCACCATAAAAGTATGATAAAACTACTCGATATGACTCATGCATTATACTTCAAGTCTTTTGAATTCTTAATCCACCTTTATGAGAGGAACAAACTGAAATGTGTTAACTTTGCAGATCGTAGTCGCATTCTCCTTATTTTTATGGTTCATGTTGTTGCTACTGCGTATTGAAAGTGTTGTTGTAGATTAATTGCTTTTATGACTCACTTTCTTTTTCTTTCTTTTCCTCACGTCACCAACCCAGGAGAGCACATTTACGACTGTGTTTGGAACGCTTGAAATCCCTCGTGCCCTTAGGACCAGACTCAAACAGGCACACAACCCTCAGCCTACTTATGAGGGCTAAGGATCACATCAAGGTATGTGCCAACATCCCATTGGTGGGTAATATTGTTTGGTGGCATGAAAACATATTTTAACGCTGGGTTGTGTTGAGCACGGGCATTTAGCGCATTTAGCGAGCACAGAGGGGGGGCATCAGGTGAGCAAGCTAGTGAAACATTGCACGGGAGGTCTGCACGGTCTGCACACATCCAAAAGAGCAAGCTAGTGAAACATTGCACGGGCAAAAGAGAAGGTCTGCACACATCCAAAAACGTATTTTAAATGCAAAATTGATTAACGTGCGCTCGAAATACTTTTTTCTTTGCGAAACGAACATTTTCTCCACAAACTCAGATCGCGCGCGTGCAAAATGCACTTTTGTGCGCTCAAAATATGATCTTTTGCGCGCAGAATTGTGGCAGAAATGTAAGCCCATAGAGATAACAGCGCAGGCGCCGACGTCACAAGCCAAAACGTTTTTGAAAATCTTCACCCTGGCAGGCGTTTTCAAAAATGTTCGGTTTCAGTGACCTGGTGCTGCATTTGCATGTGGACAAACGGCCTAACCGGTTTTATGTTTAATATATCAAAACATTATTTATGCATTTGTAACTGCAGGTTAAATCATTACATGTCCCTCTGAGCTGCATTAAACAGTGTGTAAATACATCTAAATGCTACTTCAGATGCAGCTTCTGTTTCCTCTGCATTGCAGATTAATTTTATTGATACTGATTTAATTTGCTTGGTAACAGCGCAAAGGTCTTATTATTCTAATTCATTGATTAAATGTAAGAATTTGACTCAAACGATAATGGCTTTATAAAGGTAAAAATGCCCATAAAAGGTAAAAATCTATTTTAACTTATTGGGAAAGATTCATTTCTATCAGTGTGAACTGACCACCACACAGAATATGAAGAATATCAAAAACTTCAGGAGTCAGCTGTCCACGGTAGTCCTTAGGATACCAGCACATAACACGTAAAATATTGTCTAATTATCGTTATCGATAAAATCCCAGAAAATATCGAGAATTTTTTTTTTCTTCACTATCGTACACCCCTAGTGTCATGTAGTGCTTTATGTGTGTGGTATTAGTGCCCAGCTCGGCTTTGTAGTGATTTTCCCTTCTGCTTGTAGGTCACTAAGATTCCTCAAATAGTTCAGCAGCAGATAGTATCCTCACCTCAACAGGTAAGCGTTTTAGTGTTGTGCTTTGTGTTTGATTGCTTAAATTTATTTGGTGCTTTTTTAGTGAACATGAAGTCAAAAATGACCTTGTTTCCTTTCGTTGTGTTAGTTCCTGATTTCGTTCCACCTCTGAAATTACTTGCCTTTTTCGCTGATTGTTTTTTGTGTTTGTTTATTTAATTTTTTATTGAATATAATTAACATACACTAGAGTTCAAATGTTTGGGGTCAGTAAGATTTGAAAGACTTTTATACTTTTATTTGGCAAGGATGCATTAAACTGAACAAAAGAGTCAGTAAAGACATTTATAATGTTACGGAAGATAACTATTTCAAGAAAATGCTGTTCTCTTTAAATTTTTATTCATGAAATAATACTAAAAATGTATACGTTTCCACAAAATAATCAAGCAGCACAACTGTTTTAATCACTAATAATTATCATAAATCTCGCAAATCAGCATATTAGAATGAAGGATCATGCGACACTGAAGAATGAAATAATGGCTGCTGTAAATTCAGCTTTGCATCACAGGAATAAATTATATTTTAAAATATATTAAAATAGAAAACAGGGTAACACTTTAAGGTGTCCTTGTTACGCATGTGAAAGGAGAATGTAAGTGTGTGAAAGCAAAAATATATGTATGTGAAAGGAGAATGTAAGTGTGCGAGAGTGCCAGAATGAATTATGGCTTGTACGGCCCCTCATATGTATATATATGTATATGTATATATATGTGTGTGTATGTATGTATGTATGTATGTATGTATATTAGTGCTGTCAAACGATTAATCGCATCCAAAATAATATATATAATATAATATATACATATATGTGTGTGTGTATATATATATATATATATATACACACATACACATCAACATACATATACATACATATACATACATATATATATATATATATATATATATATATATATATTCCTGTTGTAGTAATACTTTCAAAGGGAATATTTAGACATGTAAAATTTATTTTTTGTACTAGCGCACGAAAAAATGTAAATAACCATCTAAAAACAAATGTTTTTGAGAAGCACATAATGTGCATAGAATTTTTTAGACTTTGTGTACACTACTGTTCCAGTGTTTGGGAACGGTAAGATTTTATGCTCATCAAGGCTGCATTTAGTTGATCAAAAGTACAGAAAAATTAAACCGTAATATTGTGAAATACTATCAAATTTAAAATAATTGTTGAATAAATGTAAATATATTTTAACATGCAATTTTTATTATTATTTTTTATATATTTGATGATAGAGAGTTTAAAAAACAGCATTTATTTAAAATAGAATTTTTTTGTACCATTATAAAATGTCTTTTTGTCTCTTTTAATCAATTTAAATTTTTTTTTTTTTTTGCTAATTAAAAGCATTATTATTATTATAACATTTGAATGGGAGGGAATATTTAAAAGATTCACATATGACAAAAACTATATTTTGTACAATAATAACTCAACTGACAAGATATTTAAAAAAAAAAAAAAAACTCTGACCAGCAGTAATTTCCTGATTATCTGTTGATTTTTTTGGTCATTTTGAAACATTGGCCCATGACTGATCTCAGAAATACTAAGATCTTTAGTCACTGTATTGATTGCTGGTTTACCTCAGCATAGACTCTGCTCTCGACGGCCCAGCCATTTATGGGTATGTCAGACTGTTTGTGCTGGAGTTTGTAGCCCTTTGCAATGCGGATCATCTGCTGCACCAGATCCAGTCCTGTGATACACTCAGTGATGGGATGCTCCACCTGAGTGAGAAAGACATACTCACAACATGAACCACTGCGTACAAATGTAACCGTACATGCTGCATCAATCTCATTTTACCAAAATACGCAAAAATTGGAATCTATCACCAGAATTAAAAGGCTACAAATTACCTCCCACCAAACGCACTCAAACACTAACACAGGTGTTCAAGAGAGTCTTGTTAACCAGACAGAGCCGCTAACAACTAGTCATTAACCCTGAGCGGAAATATTAAACCCTTTTCCTGCCTATGCTGCCCCTCCTCATTCTGCGTGTTTTCCTTTGGGAGGTCCACACTAATGAGCTTTCATTTCATTACACCAAATACACAAAATAATGTTCTTTTTAGCAGCATCATATGACCCCTTTAATATGAACTATGTAGCAAGGAGATCAGTACATAACACGCACATGTGTCGTTTACATGATGCGGATGCAGACGCATGCGTTGTGATATTCTCCACAATGGCGGCACACCACACAAAAAGTATTTTTGTAGCTTCGTAAAATTACGGTTGAACCCCTGATGTCACAAACTATTTTACCAATGTCCTTGCTACGTTTCTGGACCTTGATCGTGTTAGGACTCTTGCTGTCTATGGGAGGGTCAGAGAGCTCTCAGATTTCATCAAAAATATCTTAATTTGTGTTCC